GGATAACCACACTGCTCCAGGGCCTGTCGTATGTGTGATTTCTCTTTTTCCCTGGCTCCTGGGTTACACTGTCTGCTCTGTGGTACAGAGTCCTGATCACTCCTAACTTGTGTTCCAGTGGGTGGTGGGAGTCAAAACGCAAATATTGGTCTGTGTGGGTGGGCTTACGATACACGCCAGCTTCGAATCGTCCTCTATCCGAATATTTGCGTGGAGAGACGAAACGTTTTATTAGAGAAGAACCCGTCCAGAGGACCTATCCAATTTTTTTCTTTTTGATTTTTTACCTGGATTACTGAGATGCATCAGGACATACTGAAATAATAAAAATGTTGTCTCTTGTCCTGACTTTACAAACTTCTGATTGGCTGAGAGATAGTCACATGGGGTGTCACCCGCTATCACGGTTCTGCTGCTAAAATGATTGAAGAAAACACAGATTGACGTGGTTACCTGTACAGTGATTAAATCAAGATATTATCACAGTGATTGAGTCATGATAGAAAAATACATTGTTTCTTTTTCTTCTTATTTTTTAATCAGTCAACCAAACAACAGAAATTTACCCAGAAAAACATTTTCTCATGATGTGATTATGAGACCAGCCTTTAGGGGCTGAAAGGCACACTCCCAGGATGTAAACTGACAGAAAAAACACAGATTTTGTCAAAAGGCTAAGAATAAATTCCCTTTCTGCTGACAGAACAAGCCTACAACACACTAATGGAATGAAATTAGTCTTCTTTAGTTTTTTATTTAGAGAAATGGGGGCAATACATCATAAAAAGAGGTTTATTTGGCCAAAAAACACACAAAGTACCTCTGCAAAGCCCTTGGTCACAGAGTGATAATCATACAACTCATTTATGGACGTATGTCTGTTTCAGCCGTTTATTTACACAAATTAATGTTTTATTATGCAGAACAGCGCCCCTTCTGGTGAGGGAACAGATTATTTTAGGGATACAGTAATTTGGCACGAGCTGTCGTGGAATATGAACATTTCTGTTTTAAAGTAATTTTATTTTTTGTCATATGAAATAAAAAATGAAACATCATTTTTTAAAATTTACAGTCCAAAATTGTTGCATATGAAGACAAAAGTAATAATAAATATTTGTCTCCCTGTTGACTAGAAAAGGTCACGCAGTGGCTGATATTAATAATATTAGTCTAGAGATTATTAGATGATAGCGTCACGGAATTTCAACATTGTTTTTAGAATTTTAAAGTTTTATAATGATCAACAAAGTGGTTTTGGCATAGTCAAAAGTCTTGTCACAATGACCAGTTTGGCCACAATAAACAAGGAAGGCACAAACAAAAGGCTTGATTAAAGGGATCCCCGATTAGTTGTAACATTAAACTTTATATGATAAACACATATTTTAACTGTAAAATAAAGACTGTAAAAATACTGTAGGATGTTCAGTTTTTATAGTTTTTAAAC